TAAACATCATACATAACCAGCCTGATTACTGTCATTAGCATTCCATTGTTGGGCTTATATCATTATTGGGAATTTTCGAAAGTCATTATGGGGTATTCCATACTCCAGTCTGTTGTTTACGTGACTCTCTTGGGTACCTCACATCTCGGTGTACTGTTCTGTGAATTTTGTATCCCAGTGTTTTCATTGTTATTATGAAACTTCAAATAATCCAGGTATGGATTTCTAATGTTATATTTGTTAATTAGAGGTATATTCAATTCAGACATAAATATATAGAAACTATTTTTTTAGTTTGGCTACCAAACTACCAAAAAATGTATTCTTCTCCTGTAGAACTCCATAAACTGTTATGGAAATTATAAGATAAAGATATGTAAGGAGCATATTCAATAAAGATGGCACAGTACTTTTGATCAAATGTGTACCCAATTGTTTGATTCTGTTTCAAAGAAAGACTGCAAGTGGAGACACATACAGGAGCGATGAGTTTCAACATAAAAGAAATTTAGAGAATTAAAAAAAAACAATTACTGTTGGAAAAACAAGCCAAATATTCATTTTGTATGAGATGGAAAGATAGGAAGACAAAAATGGTTTGTCAGCAATGTAAGAGACCTATCTACAATGAAATTGCAACAGTTTGCTTGGTTGTTATGAGTGATTACTTACTTAAATGGAAACCTCACTCCAGAGTGGGAGCACTACATTTTGCATTTATTTCAATTCTGTACTTGAACAAGAAAAATTACCTACTCAGTGGTCTAAATTCAAAATTTTCTTACTTTTTAAAAAAGGTAATAGAAGTGATATTGATAATTATAGAGGCATATCCTTACTGAACACGATGACTAAATTATTTACCGGCATCATTGCAAGGAGAATAATGGTATGGGCGGACTCTCAGAATCTAATACCCGAAGAACAAGCAGGATTCAGGAACGGAAGAGGCTGCACTGATCATATCTTCACCATCTCAGCGCTAATCGGAATGACATTTAAGACAGAAGGAAGATATCTATATGCCACCTTCATCGACCTCAAAAAAGCTTTCGATTCAATTAATCATGGACATCTTTGGAGAAAGCTTATTACCTTAGGAGTTGGAGGAAAAATCACAAAAATTATTAAAATGCTATACAACAATGCCTCACCCCAAATTTCAGTTAATGGACAACATTCGGATGATATTGACATCACCTTAGGACTTTTACAAGGTGAAAGTCTGAGCCCAACCTTGTTTTTGTTGTTTATCTCCGACATAGTTAAATACTTTCATGGCAAAGGACCAGCAGGGGTAAGCATAGATACCTCACACGAGGTAACAATGCTCCTTCTAGCTGATGATATTATTCTCTTAAGTAATAATTGGCATGGGGCGCAAAAGAACATCAAAATATTACAAGAATATTGCAGCAACAATTCTCTTACATTAAATGTAGACAAATCTAAAACTCTTGTTTTTCCACAAATCTCCACGGCTTAAACAGCTCAAACCATTGTATTGGCATGACAGTATATTGGACTATACAAAAAGGTATACTTATTTGGGAGTTCCCTTCACAACACCAGGAAAATTTAAACAAGCATGTGAACATTTTACTCAGAAGTCATTAGTGGCATCTGCGAGAGTCATAGATATATTAAAAAAAGGAAAAAGTGACTCTTGGGAAAGTAAAAAATTGTTATTTGACTCCATGGTCTCATCAACATTGCTTTATGCTTCTGAAATATGGAGCCCCAATTTTCTTGAGGCAATCGAAACGGTCCAACTTAAATATTTAAAGCAACTGTTTGGTTGGCCCAGAAATACCCCAAACTACATAGTCCGCCTCGAAACAGGAAGAGAACCATTAAGAATGAAAGTCATAAAAAAGATGATAAATCTATGGACCAAGCTCGAGTTCATGCCAGAAGAGCGACTCCCAAAACTTTGTTTTAATAGACTTAAAACATTAGATAAGGATAAGCCTGACATAGACTTCAATTGGGTGTCTCAATTTAGAGCAATAGCCGCACTTAATGCCTTTGAAGAGAAGCTTTCTGTTCACCACACAAACGGATTTCTTCGATACAAAGACGACATCCTTGAAAAAGCACCCAACTATTATTTCTCAGCCGACATACAAAGAACTTTAAACTCCACTAACTACCCTTTATACAGAATGATATGCAGTTACAATTCTCCCGATCCTGAAACGTATCTTACATTCAAAGTCCACATAAAGAAATGGATATGTGTTAGTCAATTAAGAGTTGCAAACCCAGAACACATCAGAATCCATGTAAAAAACAGAACATTTTCGATTGAGTCTCAAGAAACCTGTATTTCATGCAGCCAATTTATCTACAATAGTCTACATCACATTCTCCTTCACTGCCCAGCATACAATGACTATAGACAAAAATTCCTTCAAAACTTCATCTCAGAATCTTCTGATAACCGCAACGTCGATTCCATACTGAATATCGATTGTATAGATAAATTAAATAAAGTTTACTATTTTATGATGGGAGTTCACAAAGTGCATACACAAAATTGTTGATCATAGCCATGTTCTATTAAGCGTTTGTTTTTAGTTTATCTTAAGAGTAATATTTTGTTTATATTTATAAATATTTTTATTTAGTATTGTTTCTATCATAGTAACTGGTTCATATAACCAATATTATGCAGTAATCGTTTTATGTTTTTAATTTTTTGTGAAAACCATACTAAACGTTAAATATTGTAAATTTTATTTATATTTGAATTATATGTATGTAAATTTGTAAAACCATCTTATTGTACAATAGCCAAGCTAGGCTCTATTTGTATGGGGAACCCCCTTAAAACAAATAAAATATCTATCTATCTATCTATCTACTTACTTAAATGGTGTCCACTATATGGTGTCCACTTTTTAAGTAAATAAAAATTGTTTTTTCTTTATTATGGTTATATTTTACATTTCAAACATATATATATTTAATTGACATAAACTTAATACATTTTCAATGGAAAAATATTGATCCTTTTTTGATTTTTTAGCAATGCAGATGGTACATACTTTTTACTTTATGAGAACATATAAAATATATTTTCAAAAAGATTACCTTGAATTTATTTATGTTTTGTTTTCCTGGTCATTTTGCTTATTTCTGAAATCTATTTCAGTTTTCCAGTGCTTGACAATTATATTTTAATGATAACTTAAAGTTCGGGGTGTACCACACTCCAGAGTGTGAGAATGAGGTGTCATCTTTAAGTATGTCATTTTAGGGTTTAATTATGTTCATAAGAGAACTTTTCCTTTTTTTCCACATTTGTGGTTTTGCCTTTGGGATCAGTAATATAGTCACCAAGTAATTATGGGTTCTATTTGTAAAATAAAAACAAAACTACCTTAATATAACAATATACCATAGTTAAATTTAAAGAAGTCTATAATTTGGTTTACTATTGTACTAAACCATAATTTACCATTCTTCGAAATATACAAGATTTCTTCACAATATTGAAATATGACTCTTTTTGGTCCTTTGTTAATTTACAGTAATAGCACTTCTTGAGTTAAGTTTTATAAACTTAGTTGTCTGAAATAATATGACAATAGGATTAAATAAAACAAGAATAAAAAATAACAATTTATTTACAATATTTACAACTATACGAATTGGCCTACTACCAATAACTAGTCGAAAATTTCTAATTAATAACCTGTTGGGAGGTAAGATTTTTGATTTCTTAGAAATATGTAAAACTAAAAGAAGATAAATAAATTCTTATCTTTTCCTAATTTAAAAATATAAAACACACAAAAAACTAAAATTAACTACAATTATTTAGTAAAAAAATAAATTTTAAATAGTTATTAACATTATTATGATATTAAAGTAGGTCACAGAAAATATATCTTAATTGGAAACTTCAATAAATTACGTTTAAATGAAACAATACTTATAGTTGAACCTAGATATGTTTAAAAAAAAGTTATCATTTCGAAAACTTAAACAATGGTATAAAAAAATTATATACATTTTTTAAAACAATGTTTCTTAGTTAAATTATATCAAATTAAATGGCATAAATTGTTGGTAAATTTATTTTTGGTCATTATTAAACAATGTTTTGAAATTCAGACATCAGTGGATTAAAACATTAGGCATTAGATTTATTGTTCAGATAACAATAAACATTACTTTTGATATCAGGGCCGGACTAGCGTTTTCCTAAGAAGGGTAGGCTTAATTTTTTGTTCCTTGGTTCTTAACTCCCTTCCCTTTCTTTCCTACACAATAAAAATAAGTAGTTTTATGACAATATTTTAGGTAGTAAATTTAATAATATAAATCAATACATCATTAAATAAACTTAGGTTTATTCGTTTCATTGATGTTAATTAAATTAAAATATACACAAAAATATTTTTTATTTAACCTCAAATTTTATGCTAAATTTACTGTCCCTTAAATTCTGTAGCCCATGTAAAGTGTTCTCTTAGTCCCTCCCTTTATTTTTATAAAGTTTATAAATGTATAAACTTAATATTTATTTTAGATAATATGGTATGCATCAATTGCAGTGTATTTTTAAGTTATTGAAATAATTTGATATGCTATTGAATTAAAACTGGTAGCCACCGATAGTTAAAATTAAATTGCGGGCAATAGAGTGAAAACTGAGTGTTTCAACATTTTCATTAATCAAAATCAAAATTTCTTTAACCAATATAATACGAAGACCTTCTCTATAACTACATTCTGTTTTTGAACCCCATCCTCATCATATGAATTTATGGCATTCTCAATACAATTTCTGGTTGAAACTATCTTATATGCACTTTGTTATAGTAAATATTGATGAAAATATATTACTTTTTTTTTTTATACTCGGTCTTGGTTGTTCGTTGGAATAAAAATTTTCATTGAGATATAAAATTAAGAACATAAAAATAACAGAATGACTAGTTGATTTGAATCTTTGTGATCACATAAGATTTGTATTTAATGAGTAATTTGAATCACAAAGTTGAAGTTAATGTCAAATTTGCTTTATGGAGCCCCTCCTTTCTCTTAACTTGCTAGGCGTAAGCTCTCTCCCGATTGTAGGTGGACCACATTTTATAAAAAAAACTAAGGTCTAAATAAACCCTGATTATCCTGAGAAATATCACTCAAAATCTGCTTTGTACCCGTTTTGATCCAGATAAAACATAGGAGATATGTATCAGAATGTTTCATCGCATATACTTCATGAAATATATCTTAATTGAAACTTGCAAGGAATGATTTATTCCCAGTTACGGCCTTAGGGTGGGGCAACTGGGGCAATTGCTGCTGGGTGCCGACCTGAAAGGGCACCTTTGTTGGGGGGGTGTGGGGAGGGGTGCCTTGGTTGATCTTCATGGGCGCTCCTTACGCTAATAATTAATGTTAGTATATGAATAAAGCAACTGTATTAGAGAAAGGTTGAATGAAATAAAACTCAAATATTACATAATTTAAAAAAGCTTAAGTAATAAATTAAATTTTTTAGGAGGGAGGAGATGACGTCATTGCCCAGGTACACCAAAATTCTAAGGCCAGCACTGTATATACCTGTTACTCTAGTATAAGTAGTCAAGGACTAATTCCAAGTGTTTGGTTATCACTTTCTGCGATTAAAACAAAAAACCTATTTTAACAGTGTCATTTCTCCTTACCACTTTTTTTTTTTGACATAATTATAAATATAACTACATAAATATTTGTATACATAACATAAAAACCAGTTTTCATCGCTTAGTTGTGCAATCAATCATTTTTATTTCATGTCTTACTCATCACTGTAATTGAAGAGTATAGATATATGAAACATTACAATTTTTTTCAAAGCACATTTTCAATTCATTTTTCGTTATCTCCATAATTTGCATTAATATATTTTGATATATAGCTATCAATATACAAAAATTGACCTTATCTTTTTACTATTAGTGCTTAATTTAAAAACAAATTTAACATCATATATCAATAGTCCTTTGAAAAAAAAGTCATTTTTTAATATTGATACCAACATTTTACATAATATAAGAAAACTTTATCGTCTCTTTAGGTGGTTCTATAGATAAGATTTGTTCACAGAATAATTTTCATTTAACATTTGACATGTTTTGATTAAATATAGCATTTGTAATGTATAATTATGATTTAAAAAATTGATATGAATATGAGAAAATTAACTAGTTCTCCAGGTAGATATCTCAGCAGTGTAGCAATCAATTGTAAATATTTGATAATAAGTTGTATATCTTGGTTCGATAGCCACTACTAACAACTACAATTAAAGAATATAGTACATAGTAGCTATTTACATCTAAATCTTGAGAACCAATGTACATTTAAACTGATTCTACAAGCAGGCAGTGTAAAACTGGTAACTGATCCACCGTTTTCAAACATTAGACAATCCTACTACTTTATTAACATTATGAATTGCCATACTAAGTTTTATAGAAGATTATATATATTAAATAGCTATTAAAACCAATACCCATACCATACCAACTATTAAGTGCTAACGCGCTAGAAGGAAGACTAATGTTAATTTAGGCATTTCTATCCCAAAATTGAACCGATATTATTTTTACTCAATTTTATTATTTATTATCATTATCAAATAATGGAAAAAGTTTTTAATTGTTTATATGTGTATTCATGAGGAATAAATAAGCTAACGGTTTTAAAGATTTAATCCAAAATTATAGTTTAAAAGTAGTTGAAAGTTCATTTATCATTAGAAAAGTATAATGAATTTATTACAGTCAATTGAAGTAATCGTTAGAAACCTACACAAAAATAGTATAGAGTGCAAGACGATATTGTTTTTTATTTTGAATGCTTCCTTTTCACTATCTCTTAGATTAGGTCCTTTCTATAACCAACTGTTTCTTATTTGATTATAAGTATTATATTGTTATAATGTAACGTAGTGATGTAATGATGAAGAAATCTACTTACAATTTTTCTTTAAGTAATATAATAAAAAAATTATGCTAAATGTTAAATAGATTTTGTAAAAAAATCTAGAGACTGATTAAAAATGAGAATTAAAAAAAAAACAGAATATTTTTATCAAAAGTAAAAAAAAAAAAGAAAAAAATTTAGATTGAGAATAAAAATAATGTGTTGAATTATTTGATCATGAACCAAATTTAAACTTCAAAAGTAATGACTTCTAAATCTAAGGTACTCTACCCGGAACCTGTTAAAACCGTTTTATAAAAATAATCTAGAAAAATCTTGCCAACATTGCTTTCTGAAACCACCCGATTAAAATATTGTAATCCTTATTTCTATGTTCCATATGTATTCATTTTTTAAAATTTGTATATTAAGGTGATCTGTAATACATTTTTATCTAAATATAGTTGTTTAGAGACTTTTTTCCTAAATGCACAAAATTAATCTTTTTTTTAGAAAATACAGAGAAATTATTTTAATAAAAATAGAAGCAAGAATTTGAAAGAAAAATAATAATTGCTTCAATTAAGAAAAATTTGAGAAATTGTTTGATAAAAATTATGATTTGCTTTTTTTTGAAAATAATATGAAGTGAACTTCTTATAAATGTTTTATACTTTTGTTAATATTTCACTCCTAAAGAAAAGTTTGGATTTTTTTCTGTTTATAATGATTTGCGTAATTTATATTTAATTATTTAAATTAAATTTTGGTATGCTGAATATAATAACTTTATTTATGTACTAATAATTTTTTTTTTTTAGAGTGGTGATGAATTTGAACATTCGTTTTTAACTTATTTTTAATTCATTTTAATCAAGATTAAAGGTAAGTTCAAAGATCCCTTGAACTAACTATATGCTATATATCACTAAATCCAATAAAAATGTAAAATGTTGCTACAGAAACGTAATAACGTAATAACTACAGAAATTAGTCACTCAAAAAACAGTTGAGTATTTGAATAATTGAATAATATATACAATTATTTATTAAGAAAAGAATAATTATTTTAAGATCCCACTGCAATATGATTAATCCACTGACTTCTAAGATCTTTCATTGTCAAATGCTTATCTTTTTCTGTCACTGGAAAAAAAACATTTGACTTTCAAAGTCAAAAATCTTCAGGATGTTTTGAAAACTGTTTCTTCATTTTTCGTCTGGATACTATAGAAAAAAGATCAGACTTGATTCTGTTATGGGATAATACTGTACATCAAACCATTAATTATTAGAGGTTATTAGTCATCATTTGGTATCCAAAACTTTGTTGGAATTCTCGTAAATGCGTCATTCATAATTTTTTTAAAGACCACAGCCAAGTTTTCCCCAATATTCTCTTTCAACTCTTCAACTACTTCCAGAGCATTCTTGTTAAGGAAGTTATTTACTGTATGACCTGAAAAGAATGATAACAATAAATTTACAAGTTGTTCTTTATTATAAAATTAGAAATTACAAAATACATTAATGGTTGGTATATTATTTAGCCTTTAATGAAAAAATAAATCCAACATAAAATATTATTTAATTAGTATCTGAAATTGGTATATATATTTAGAAAACTATATTATCTTGATAATAATAAATGCATCATTACTGATTTTATTTAGTTTAACTAACCACAGCCATGGGAACACCATAGATTTATTGACCATCGGCAGAAGTGCTGTTATGTCTATAAAGTAAGTGGTTATATAATTTCAAAGATTTTAATAGTATTGAATTTTTCTACATTATTTAGTAGGTAATAATGAATAAAAAAAGTAATTTTGATGATGAAAGCATTCTGGAAGAGAAAATTTTAGTATTATTAATTATTGATTAATAACAAAAAATTAAACAAACAAAAAAAAAAAATGGTATTCTTAGTGCTTATGATCTTACATCTCTCTATTATAAAAAAAGTTTTTAGTGACTTTTTTTTTTTTTTTGTCCTTCCCTTCCTCGCCGTTAAGGCTATATGGGATTTTCCTGGGCCAGGGGGTGGGAGCGGGGATTTAAAAGACTCCCCCGGCACTGGGACGCGAACTCGTGTCTATTTTTATATCTTTGATTCATTTATCAGGTTGCTGGGCAACGTCGGTGCAGTGCACACGCGTTAGCCCATTCGGCCCACGAAGTTTTTAGTGACTGTCATATTTTATTTTATTTTAGTATAAGGAGAGTAGGAGGATTACTTTTCAGCCCAGTCCTCTAGGCTCAATAGTGCTGCTCTCCTATGGCAATTATTTTACAAATTATACAACTGTTCTCCTAATACAAAATAAAAATTATGGAAACCGGTATTCATCTGGAGATGGTAGTTTGATTTTACATTGGTGACAGCAGTTACTTTTGGATCTAGACATTTTCCTCTTGATTACATTAAACATAATGTATTTATATAATTTATGTATAATAATTAATAAATTATTATATTATATTGTGATATAATTATAATTATTATCATATAGAAAAGGAAGCACAATATATAATGGAAATGTTAGAAATGAAAGGCTGAATTGATGTTTGATGTGCTTATACCAAGCTGGGCAAGCTGAATATATATTATGGTTACAAATTGGCAATAAGAACAATTATAATTATATATTAATATAAATTGACAATAAGGTAGGATATATAATATAAGTATTTGAAGGAATTAAAAATTTGTTAGAACAGTGGTTTGTTACGTTTATTTTATGTTGATAAAAAAATAAAACAATCTGAACTACAGAATACATTTAAATTACAGTTATACAATTTTAGCAACGAATAGTACAATTAAATGAACAGTTGTATAATTGGCAAAATCGGGACTGGTCCGCCATTTGGCGGACAGGGAGTAATCCCCTAGTGATCAGTATTATTGATTGTGTTATACCACAAATGTCAGTTTGTTACATTTGTATATGGTTGTAACATACCCTTCAGATATTGAATATATAGAGAATGTTTGATAAGAAATAAAAAAGAAGATTTTTATCAATGATGAGTTCTAAAGGAATTTCAGAAGTCAATTGATTCAATAGGCTTTGAAGATATCTAACTGTAGAAAAACTTCATCTGCCAAGTTGTAACACATACATCATATGGAAATACATCACTGACCAAAAAAATCTTTGTATCAGTGAAAGGAACCACACTAAATATCTGAGTTGGGTGGGTAAGGATATTTTAGGACAGGATGTTAAATAAAACCTTCCTGGAAGGCAAGAGATGGGTTGGAAAAATATTATGCTGAGAGGGAGAGATTGATTCTTTAGGATGCTAGAAACTTTCTAGATATGGACTGGAGATAAATGACTTTGGGTGCAGGCAATTAGTGAACTGAAATTATTGAGACAACTTATCAATGTGAGGGTTTTCAAACAAAAAAATTATGGGTACTTATGGTTTGAACAGTAAGTTTCTTTTTCTTCCTTTTCCCATATTTTAATTATATTCCAAATTATAAATTTTTTTTTGTGTAAAGCAACCTGTATTTACCAAATACTTCTGGTTAGATTTATCAAAATAAGTAATCTATGTGTCAGCTGCTTACCATAAAGCTGGAAAATAATTGAATCTGATGAGATTGACCGAGCATTTAATTTATTACAATTAAAAATATAATAATCTAGATTAATTGCTATAGTCTGACTAATAATCAAATGTTTCTTATATTGATGGTAGAGGAAGACTTTCCTACTTGGAGTAAAATTAATTTCAATTTAAGAGTCTGTTTGAATTGTTAATAACATACCTAAAACTTTGTTCCCATTGAAAAGATTATCCAAGTGAACTCTGCAATTGGCCATACGGAACTCAACTCTCATTCCATCTACCCTCATGACTTCTTCTCCTTGTACTTTAGGGAAGCTAACCTTCATGTACACCTCTGTGGTTACATTTCCTGCATTATAAATAAATTCAATGAGAAATTATTATTAAATGTATATATTTATATAAATATGTGTCTATGTTTATATTTATGAGACTTTGTCCCAGAATAAAGTTTATTTTTCTATCTATCTATCTATCTATATATATTAATTATTTTTAAATGTTTAGTAAAAATGTAAGTTGTTGTAAGCTCTACATGAGACATTCAGAGCTTAAATGGATCAAGTCCATAAAATTAATTTTGAGATAGTTAAGGCTCAAATTTATTAACATTATTTATATTCTATTTTTCTAGAGAATAATTTTCTTTTTATTTAAATTAGAAGACTGACTTAACTAAGAGTTATAATTCATTATCAATGATCAATTTTGCATTATCCATTTTGGTTCTGAAATTTTATGAGTGTTTTCACAGTTACAGGCAATGTTGCTATCTCTTAAAAATAACAATAACATAAAGGGACTTGGTTTACATTGGTCCTGGAAACACCATTAACAAGAACAAACTAATTCTTTTGAACTTCTGGGCTTGATCCCCTTTATCATTAAATCCCTTATGTATTATGTTAAATATTTTATGAAACAGTAATTTATAAAATTGTCTTATGTTTTCAAAATTATTAATATAATAGTTCATTATATTAAAAATACATGCATCATAATACAAGGACGTAAAGAAATTTTACTAACGGAGGATTAGTTTTGCATTTCCAACTCCAATAAGAGGCAAAAGTAGTATGTTTCCTTTAAGATTGTATTGTGATTCCGTTGTTATCATAGGAATGTGAAGTCCTATGTTGAACCTTCCTTGTTCTATATCAAACCTAAACAAAAAAAAAAAAAAAAAAAAAAATTGAACAATTATTCATGACTTCTAATGTTTGAAATACTATTTTTTAAACTAAAAGATCATAAATTTTGGCGATATATTTCAGAATAATATATATATATATATTTTTAATCAATTTCATTTCATTTTGGGTAAAATAGGCTTTCTTAATAATTTCATTTTACTAGCCAAAATCAAGTGCATTACTGCTAGGTTTCAGATAATCATTACCAAATTCATTCTCTGAAATTACTAAAAATATTAAAAGATAAAAATTGATGTTTATGTTGGATTTGTACGAGTATATTACTAATTCAGTACAATTCTGTCCAACCCTTTAAATAAAAAATCTTATTCCTATCAAGACAACTACATACTGTATTATCTCATTTTTTGAACTTTTATTGAAAATATAAGAATTTTGATCTAGGAAAAAAAAAGAAGAAAAAATACAGATTTAAGTAAAATATTAAATCACACTGATTGATATGAATTAATAGGTAAATAATCATTCATGATCTACATAATTATAAATTATTTCAAAATAAAATCTTTTAATCTTAATTATTGTACAATCGGTTCTGACTGTTGACTGTTAACTTTTCTTTTAGATTATTCGGCATTGAAGTGGGAGCCCATAAAAACATTTTATACAGTAGTCAGCACATTGCCGCTTATGGTAGAGTGTAGATCAGCAGAAAACAAGCTCAGTCAAACTATTTCCAGAAAAGAATTAAACTTATTTTTGTTTTTAGTAGTACCCAAGACTGTTTATTATTAACATGAAAAAAATATATAATTGTGAGTTTTTTAATTTTTAATTCATAAGAATGAAGAAGCAGAGATCAGATCTTTAAGCTTTTGTCTTAAATTATTATTAATTATTTTTTTTTTAGTCTTGGAACAAAATACTTCAGCAATAATAATTTAATATCATCTATTTATTTATAAAATATTTAAACAAATAAAAATGAATAATACGAGTAAAAAATAAATTAAATTTGATTTATATTAGTTAACAATGTTATGGTGTGATAATGACCCACCAATAATTTGGAAAGGGATATTAAGATGGATAAATTTTTCTAAATGTAACAATTTAAAAAAAAAAATTTTTAGTACTTTGATAAAGATTCGAAAGATTCACTTATTTTAAAGGGAGCACAACTCGAATATACAGTAGTTTTTTCCGAATAATCATCATTTAACCTTATAGAAAATTAAATTAAATGTACAGATATGGTTAGATATACAGATGAACTTTCAGACCTCTCTAGGCATTTACAGCTCAAATACTGGAGTTATGTGGATTACAAAAACAGATGGAGTTACAAGGTTCTTATCACCTACCCAAAAAATATAATAATTAGGTTTTTTTTATTATATTAATGCTCTTGATGAGTTGTTGGGTGTAAGCTTTAACCTTTTGCTCTATTAAGAATGCACTTCAAAAATTTTGTAAAAGCCCAATATTGCCAGAAAATAATGTCTATCCAAAGTAGAGCGGTAAAGAAAAGGTGTGTGATGCGCACACCAGATTTTTATGTTTAAATTAAAACATACATCTAAATTACTTTTTAATTCAAGTTATTGTTTAGTTTTAATATACTTGTCTGAAAGAGAGAGAAGTAGTTTATTTCCAAGCAGTGCTGCCATATCACATTGAGTTGCTAAATATACAACATACTAATCAATCTATGCCAGACATAACATATTTATGAAAGACAGAAAAATATAAATATTTTACAAATATGTCATATCACCTACATAATTATTATAATAACTAAATATTTTATCATTTAATTAACTCTCATAAAATCCCACATTTCTCTTTTCTTATACAACCCATAAAAAAAAAAAATAATCAAATGTTAAAATTACTGGTTTGCTCACAAAAGTATCAATAAGATTATTAAAATATAGGGATAAATAAAGATACGAATAAATAAAAAAAATAAATAATATTAATCATTATTTATATAAATAAGTCCTATATATTAATGTTTTATTTTATCTTCATTTATAAATATTATGTGGGTTGAATTGATATTGAATTCTGTTTTTTTTTATACACTCTAAATTAATCCAGGAATGCCTTGGTTCCAAATAGGATGGATAAGTGGGGTTCAATTTTATGTATTATAGATTGATTTATTAATATATAACCTGAAGAAATTACAAGAGGATTTAGGAAGCTAAAAAAGACCGAAATTACGGCAATTGAAATGGGAAACAAGGTTGTGTGAATAGATAAGGATCTAAATGTCTAAGAAGTTCATATTGATTGAACTAAAGTCAAGTTGAATCTTAGATAGACCAAGACGTAGTTAGAAAGAATGTGAAGGCTCATCAACTGGATTTAGTTCTTGATGAAGTTTATTGTAGACGGTGATTTTCGGCTTTATCGGTATCGAACGGTGGTCGCCTTATAATCGTTATTATTATTTAAAAAATAAACACTAACTCTATTTATAGATAGACTAATACTGACTTTGAAACATATAGACAAGTGAACAGATTGATATACTAAACAAACCAGATAGCGTCTACGAAGCGAAAACAAACTCCAAAGCCGGTCCTTTCGTTATCCAACCTCTGATGTAAGAGCCCGTAGACATGTTCCAGTTTTCCTTCTTCATCCAAACAGGATTATTTTCTAATTGCAGTTAGGTTGGTTGTACCTGCGCGTTTCACGACGGCGTTCTATGGTCCGATTGCATTACACGATTAGACAATGACATGTTCTATACTCATTCATATAAAAATCGGCGAAAACCATGACGAAGTATCCAATTTAAAGTTTTCTGAAACATGATCTGGTTCACTCATCAAGTACCTATATCTTGTAGTGAAGTGAGTATGTTGAGAAAAGGCAATAGTTTTTATTTAGTTATCAATATTTTCTAAGTATTTTAATTTAAAATCAACATTTGTCTCAATGGATCCCATCCAACACACAAAAAAAAATCTGGTGCGCGTAACTTTCACTTATCGCTCTACTTTGAATAGGAATTATTTTCTGGTATTGTTGGGATTTTACAAAATGTTTGAAGTTCATTTTTGACGAAGCCACAGGCAGATCTACAGAGAGGAGGCATTCGAGCTGAAGTCGTCCTCCCTCCCAAAAATCTCGTACCTCCATCAGTTTTCGTTATCAATATAACTCCAGTCTCAGAGCTATATGTGCCAAGAGATTTGAGAGTACATCTGTAAACTTAATTATAAATGATTATGGATTACAATGCTATTAGTAGTTAAACTCTCATTTTTCGATTGTTAAGTTTACTAAAATGAAGTTGCAAGATTTTCATTGCCTAGTATCGATAGTTTAAAAGTTGTTATAACAATTGTAAAAGCATAATGTTGCGATTTTACTGAGAGAAAACACACCAAATTATTCCCTATTTTAATTTTTTTAAATTTCATATGATTATTTTTCCTAATTAACATTAATAAATACCTAAATATTTAAATTTAAAATCAGATTTATTAAACTACAATAAATGTACTTAAGGTTAAAACATACGTTTTACACATCCATGAAATATTTTATATTCACTTATTCTTTCACAAAAGTACGATGATATAGTTTTTAATCAATGTTATTGCCTTGATTCGGTGGATATTATATACTTTTTATTCAAATTTAAAAAGAATTTTAGAATTTTACATTTAGTTAGAGAATTTCATTTTAGTTCCTTAGAAACACGTGGCTTCCGTTAAACGATATTAATTTCCAGAATTTAGTATTTATAATTTTTTCTTCACTCCACAATCCTTCTACTACTGTATAAGTTACAAATTATTTTTCTGAAATTCTTGGCTTTCCAACAATATATAATACGTATACTCTCAGATTATTATTTCCGGTAATTCATTTTCTACCTTAAAATAGATTTTTCGTTTTTTTTCCTTTAGTCAATCATAAAATTATTTCACAATCGATAGCAATACTTTTTTTATTGATACTTACAAAAAAAAATTAACTTTAGGTTAATTAATTAATTATCAAAGGTACTTTAGGGGGAGAAATTTTGAACATTGGACATTTAAGCACTGTTACGTGGCGTCAATGGGAATAAGACCTAGCTGACTTTAGAGAGTATTTAATTTATATATTGATATACCGAATTTAATCAAAATCGTGTTTGCGCCGTTTTCGAGAAAATTGCAAAAAAATTGCTAAATCGATGATTTAAAGTGACACTTCCGGTTTGCCGAGTTTTATGAAAAAATTGCTGAGACATTCAGACATTTACAAATCTTGAAAAACGCAATTTCTGTTTCGTACGGCTTTTTGTTTTGTTTTTTTGTTTTGCGACACACGCGCACACCCACAGACCGTTTTACGAGACTCATGTTATTTGGAATAAAGGAACCTCAAAATGTTTATTTCCGTTAAAAACACGGATTCGAAAATTTTCACGCTCTCAATATTTTATCTTACTATATATTTCATATATAGGTAAGTGAAAATAATGATAATAAAACAACTGAACCTTCATTGGAGGAAACCGTAAATTTGAGTGAAATGCTTGTGGAAAGTAACATATGTTTGATTTTGGAATCCTGTGAAAACCGAACTTTTATGACCTCCCAAAGCTCCTTACTCAAAAAGAGTATCCACTAAACTTTTAAATATTACTATAGAAAAAATATGGGTTTCCAATTAGAGATCCCTCCCCTCCCCCCGTTACATTTCCTCCTTATGAACTGTTATCTATGGTTCTGAAATTGTTATCGTTAGGGAATGTTTTATTTTGCTTTCGAACTCTTAATCCTTACCCAATCCCAAAATCTCTGTTTTCTTCTCAACCATTTTTCTAAAGAAAATGTTATAAATTAATATAAAAAATAACTTATGTGTGGTTTGTTTTTATAAATAATATGAGAGCATATTCATTATACTTATAAAATCTTAGGTAACCTTTTCAAATTAACCTTCAGGCCAATCTGTCGGGTCTAGTTTTTGGGTCCTACAATTATAATAAATGCTTTTCGGACAGCGTTTAGGTCCCCAAACTTTCACAAGTCATTTCGAAGAATTAATGAGTTTTTAGTATCCATTAGTGTCCATATAATGATATTGGTTTGAGGTATTTATATAATTATTTTTATATTAATTTTTGAATCATAAGTGTAGTGTTTGACAAGTTTGATGTTTGACAAGTTCAGTTAATATTTTGAATATATAAATGATTTTTTAAGCTATGTAATTTAAAGATTATTAATTTATCCATCTACTTTTTTGTCCATAGATGGCTCTATTTGTTAATGTAGTTACTGTTCAAACGCATTATTGGCGCCATTTTGTTTATTTGGCAGCTTGCTAAAATGTTCAACTCACAACAATAGAAGTTTTCAACTCATAACAGCAAAGTTTTAATACTGTTGAACCTGTCTAGTTTTGTGCTTAAACTACTTCTTGCAAACTGAACAAGTTTTCAACTAGTTGTTGAATTGTTGCTGTTACCATTTAAAGAAAACTACTGTAGAATAGGATCGAATGCTTGATGAAGTTTACGGCGATCACTGGCGGATCTACGAGGGGGCTTTCGGGCTAAAACCCCCCAAAATGGTAAAATATAACCATATTTTACAGAAAAAAAAATTAAAAACTGTCTTTAAAACTATTCTTGTTCGTGTAATTACATTTAATAGAACTTCAAGAACCATTTAAACACCATTTCATTAGGTAGTTAATTTCTTTCTTTTTTTTTTTCAAATTAATTATCGTTATATGAAAAAAAAAGCTTTGGGGCAGAAGCCCCCAAAATTAAATCCTGGATCCGCTAATGATGGCTATCATGCTCTTGGTAAGTCAAAGTGTCGAGTGGTTTTGACGATTTTGACTTGAGTAATCAAGAAGTCGGAAGACCGCCGAAAAAATGGTGTTATATATTATTACTTGCAAAAACCTAGCTTAGACGTTATAATACTGGATGGCATAGACGACAAATGATCGATTTGAGTCGAATATTGTGTGAAAAACGACCAGAACATCAAAAACAACAAAAAGTGATTTTTCTTCATGATAATGCACCATCACTCACAGGAAAATTAGTGAAGAAAACGATTGAGGTTTTCAATTAGAGAATATAAGCGCATGAGAGTTACTCACTAGACATTGGTCTATCCAACTACAATTTATTTTCATTGATGGGACACGCACTTGGAGCAAACGATTCACTTCTTATTAAAATGTACGTAAATGTCTCGATTACTGGTTTGCCTAAAAAGAGCAATAGATTTTCTGTTAAGGTATTAATAAACCGCCAGAGAGGAGGGGAAAATGTATAGCAAGCGATGCACGATATATTGAATAAAATATTTTTTAAAACATATTAAAACATTTTTATGCAATCAATCTTTATTTTCTATACGAAAATTGCGCTTTCATATTTACACACATGGTATTCATTGATGATCATTAGAATAGTATATAGATTCTTGTTTTTTTGCAGTTCAGGTACTTCTAGTCCGTAGTACAGACCCCTTTTTATCAAATTATTAACATTCACCTGAAACTTCGTAAATAGCTACATCTCATCGTTACCTACAAATATTTTATTTTCGAAAATTCTCGGAATTGGGGCGTTTTCAGTCTGGAGGAGGGCAAACTTTGTCTATTTAATTAGGTAGTAAAAACTCGTAAATAGCCATTTGATTTCCACCTGAATCGGAAGATAATTTGAGCACAAAATCGGGGGAAAAATGGCCTTCAAAAATATTGAATCGTTTGGCGTGAACTACACCCACAAATTCTCAAAAAGGACAAACGGCCCGATATTTTCGTATGCCACCTTTTTAATAAATTTTGTGATCAAATTATCTTATGATCCAAGTGGCAAGCAAATAGGTATTTACGAGTTTTAATACCTAATTAAATCTACAAAGTTTGCTCCTCTCTAGAGTGAAAACGCCCCAATTCCAAAAAATTTCGTAAATAAAATAGTTGTAAATTACGATGAGATGAAGCTATTTGCCAAGTTTCTGGCTGATGTTAACAATTTGATAAAAATGGGTCTGTACCATGGACTATTCATATTATGGCTTGATTTAATCAGATTATGAAGAAAATATTTTCTAATCAAAGAATATTTTAGTTTAGTAGTAGCTTAATTGTATACTTATTACTTGTTATTTACTTATTACTTGTTATTTACTTATTACTTATTAATTTTATACTTAATTGTATACCGAATAGGCGATTAATGTTTTACATAACGATGACATTATCCCCTTAGATTTTCATGTCATCAACAAATCAATAATTACTTACTTCGGGAGGAAACGTAATCATTTTTAGGTCAACGAATAACTCGGCTATTTATTTTCAAATTGACCTGATTAATTTTTTTTTTCATTTTATCACTTAAAATATTTTATCAAAATAAACATTTTGATAAAATATACATTACACTATACATTTTTATTTTACACTAATTTAAACATGTACTTCTCATGTAAATGGACATGTACTTCTCAGATAAATTCTTATAAATATATTGACATGACTTACAGGCAGCTGACGGCCGTGGTGTTGCTTGGTCCGTGGGCATAGAGGCTGTTGAAGTTACCGGTGAGGGTCACAGCGCCGTGCCCTTTGGTAATCCCGATTTTCTCAATGAAGAGTGGTTCGAATCTGGGGATGTTCACCTCCGGGATACCTGTATACATTTTTTCGATAAATACGTATCTTATACACTAATGTGGAAACCATAATTTCACGAACTATAAGTTACCTTTGGCCATATATGGGAACATCCCCTGGAACGTACTCCGGATGCATTCGTTGAGGTTCGGATCTTTTCGTTTGCACGGTGTTTTCAACCATTCCGCTGAAAATATAAAAATAATATTAGTTAATATTATTAAGAATATATTCAATTAGATTAGCTTAAAATAAATTCAAATTATGGATTCAAATGGACGTGTGCATACACTTATATAATAATAAAATTTCTTATCAAAGATTCGATCATATAACTAACATTCATGTTTTTTTTTTTTTAAATTTTACTGTCGTAAACCATTGACTTCCTGTCCTTTAGTATCTTTTTAACAACACCTCACTTATTCTTGTTGAACAAATCCGTTAAATCCGTTACCTAGGTCTCCACATGGACAAACGTCTAACTTGGAATCCTCATACCAAACTGAAACGACAAGAAACTGCTTGACGTTTCCGACTACTTCAACACTTACTAGACAAACGCTCTAACCTTCCAACTTATTATAAAAGACTCATATACATGACTATAATAAGGCATATTTGGACTCACGGAGTTGAGCTATGGGGCTCCACGAAACCTTCAAATTCCTATTGTATCCAATCCTTACAATCCAAAATCCTCAATACTACTTACTTACTTTGCTATAAATAAAATCGTCCACAATGACCTTAATGTTCCTTATGTATCAGTTTTGTCCCAATCCAGATACCTATCCTTCCATAATAAACTTCATAACTATCCCAACCCTCTTGTTTCTAGCCTTGCTTCGTTATCTCATAATATAGACATATTATTAGAGGGCTATCAAGTTTCCCAACGTGTGTTCCATGTCATTATATCCATGTAAGAATTTACTAGATGTATTTTTTTATACAGAGAAAAAAAATTATTTTCAAACTCACATCTGATGGGAATACCAACAACCAGCGAATGTGCTGTCGGGAAGAAGACCATAGATTAAGATGTTGGTAGGTGTGAGGAGTGCCCCGAGGCCTCCTTTTCTAACCTGATTTTATGTTTATAGTTAGTGGAGGTGATTCCTCACCCAGCTTCATTTGAGCCTTCTACCATGTGCCATCGAGCATGTTGATTGTGGCCATGTCTTGAATCAACGAGTTGGTATGTCCGTGTAAGTTATTATGAAATCTTTTGTAGTATGTTCGTATGTGGTCGTTAACAGTTGGCATCTGTAGGTCTTTATGTAAAGTAATGTTACTGACGTACCAGGAAACCTTGGGTATAGTCCTGAAAAGTCAGTAGTTTACATATGTGAGTATTTTTGGCTGTCCCGTTCTGTGAAGCGTAGGTCCAAATGAGATCTTTGTAAAAATGTGTGGTGGTCTATGACAAAGTTTTGTCATTGATTGAAGTGAAAATGGATAGACTATTCCTGAACTACGTTACATTGTTTATGTTAACTTTTTGAGGTTTACTTTTGGTAAACCGTTTTTCCATTTTTTAACACCGATAACAACAAATACAGGAAGTAAAATTGCAAGGTTAGTTGTTACATTCCTGGCCTAACTAGCCGAAAAATATTAACAATTCAAATTTAAAGCTAATATAAATAAATTAGTTTGATTTTATTCGAAAAACATAATCAAAAAGTAATGTGTAAAAAGTCCATAATGTTCTTGGTGGTCGTTCCTGCTGGTTTAAAACCAAACTACTTAACTAAAATTTTTAAGACATAGACTCGATCTAAAAATTTGAAGAAATACGTTTTAACACTGAGTTATCCAATTGAATTAAGAATTATATGAATTTATCGATTGTGCTGCTGTGCTCTGGGTTTTACTAGAAAATGTGATTTCTTTTTCAGGCATCTCATATTTTTTCTGACCGATAAAGTAGTAATATAGTATCAGATTAGTAAATAGTTCCATTGAGTCATAAGACATGTCTATAGCTAAAGTGAACTCGGTCGAATCAGCTAAATTGAACTAACCTCAGTTATTTTTTTTTTGTTGTATTTCCATTATTCTTGCCATATATTTCGAGAAAAAAAAGTAAAATATGCAGAGTGACAGCTATTCAAAATCACCATCCTTTATTCGTCAATAATTGCCATGATTATGTACCATATTTGAAATTGGCTACTGAATATCAATCCAAATAAAATAATGGAGTTATGAAGTGGTGCGACTGGAGTGCTTGGAGTGAGACAATTTGAAAGACTCCACTGACTATTTCATTGCCATCACTGACCATCATTCCACCCTACTGTTTCAGTTTTTACTGACAAGTAAAAATCTTAAATGTTTCTCATTTATATAGATTTTTTGTATTTATTATAAATTTCACATTGTCGGTAGAATGGAAGCAGAAAATGTAACTTGTTTAATTACAAAAAATCCTATTAAAGTTGAGTTAAAACATATCTAAGTCCATTTGTGAAATAAGCAGGCCAATTCACGCAATCGTTAACGAAAATAATTTGGCAGATTTCTTAACCATTTTTGAATATTTAGGGCAGATCGACACGCAGAACAAACAATTTATTCAATATTACTTAAATGCCAATGATATAGTATATAATGTTTTTTATTTATACTTACTAAGATCCAATAAATTTGATCGTTACTTGAATAAATAAATTAGAATTAAAAAAAAAATTATCAAAAACAATTCTATCAATAATTATCATGTTTGTTTATTAACATTTCTGATAAAATGATAAGAACGGTACACTATGTAATTATTTCAATAATGATAGAAGGTGGATTGGGTTGGTTGGGGTGGGGTGGTATAGGTTTTGTTTGGGGATGTTTTATGTTGGGATGGGTGGGGGGGGGTTGAGGGGGGGGGGGTAGGGTGTGTAGGTTGGTATTGGGTTTGTGGTAAGGGTGGTTTTTGGTTGTTTTGGTTTGGTGTTTTTGTGGGGTAGTTTGGGGTAGTTAAGGATGGGGGGTGGGAATTGTGGTTGTGTGGGGTTGGTTTTTTATTTATGGGATTGATGGGGGGGGTGGTTTGGGGGAGAGTAGTGGGTAGTATGGGGTTGTGTTTTGAGGTGGTGTGTTTTGTTGTTGGTGTTGTTTAGTTTTTATGGTTATTGTTTTTTTTTTGAAAATGTTGTAATTTTTGGTGTGGGTTTGGGGGAGTGGTGAATTGGGTTTTAGGGGGGGGGGGGTTTGTGGGTAGGAAGTTTTTAGTATGTTGAGGGTGGGGGTGTTTAGTGTTTGTTATTATTAAGTGTTGGTGTTTTTTGTGTGGTTTATTGGGTTTATTTTAATCTTTACTAATATTATGGTATGGTATTAGCTTTTGATATTATTGCTAAACTCTTAATATTTATGTTGCCTGAGGATTATAGTGTAGAAGCTCGATTATCCTGGATCGATGATACTGTGAAGTATAAAGGATTCCATTCCACCGTTTTTTTTTTCCAAATAAAATCCTCGATCGTTAAAAAAAAATAAAAATTTAATAAAAGTAACCCTAATTTTCTATTTACATTATTTTATGTTATTTACATTTTTGTCTCTTTTTTCCTATTGTTTAATTTTTTATTTATTTTTTGCGGTTATATTTCTCTAAACCCTTTCTTCATTATGACGGAACTTATTGGAAATAGAATGTAACATTTCACTGTATAAGAGCAAAAAAAAAACTAAAAGCAAAATACCGGTTTCTAAATCATGTAACACTGTTTTAACCAGAGGCGAAGACTCCGGTGGGGGGCGGAGAGGGGGCGCGATTACTCCCCCGCCCCAATAACAATATTTTTTCGTCCCCCCTCCGATAATTGGAAATAAAAAAAATTAAAATCAATAATAAATATGCTATAAGAATGAATAAAATGTGTAAACTAAAATCAATGAGAAAAGACGACTAGCTGGCTAGTTTTAGTAGTAGGTATTTATACTCATCCCTCTGCCCTGTGTTTTATCTAAACAAATACGTTTTATATTCAATTGTATTTTTTAAGATATTTTCAAGTATATATAATAAATAAAATTAAAAAAAAAATATCTTCACAACTATAAAAAAATACCTAATATTTCTGTTAACATGGAATCCATATACTAGACTTAAAAGACACGAACTTAACAGACGATATGGCCAGCTATATAGACTACTGAATAGAAAATCTAAACTTTCTGGTGAAAACAAATTACTGATCTACAAGACAATACTGAAACCCATCTGGACTTACGGACTAGAACTATGGGTAACAGCTAAATTTTCTAACAACAAACGCATTCAATCCATTCAGTCTAAAGTCCTCCGTACAATAGTCGATGCTCCCTTCTATGTAACCAATAAAACCCTACACCATGACCTTAATATCCCATTTATTCTTGATCTTATCCCAGCCAAATTTTCCTAAATTTCACCAGAACCTTTCTCATCACCCAAATCCCGTTGTACAATCCCTATCAAGCACCACCCATCCCTACAATCCCCTTCGTAGGTTAAAGCGGCAGTGGCCACGAGACCTTTTGTAAATATGGATATTTTGGAGTTCTAGCAATGGCCAGATTCTCCACTCAAGTCATGAGTGTCTGTGGCTGTAGCGCTCTTACTCATCCTCCGCTGGTTTAAAATACCAGTGAAGTGGCTGAGGGAGAAGCGTAGGGATCTCCTAAGCCTCCCTTTTCCCTCCACATGTGGAGGGGACAGGATTGGTTCGGAGATCACCTGGCAAATTGTAAATAATGTATATAGGTATGTTTTATATAAGGTGTTTGTTTTACTTTTATTTCTATTTTTATTTACTTATGTGTATATATATATATTTTTTTTTTCTTTACTCTTTTGTTCTTTTTTCTTATTCTTTTGTTATTACTTTATTTATTTATATACGGTATGAATGCAATCTATGAACTCTATTATAAGTGTCCTTAAACTGTGACAAATTGTAATATTTCTGAATAAAGTGTTTAAAAATTTCAAAAAAAAAACAACAAAATTTCTGTATCGCAATTAATGATTAATATTTATATATTATGTTTATATTATAAACTAATCAATTATATATTTCTTCGTTTTACAATAATTATGTTGCATTTTTATACATGACAGAACTCCTGCCATTTTATTTTATTTTTTTTTATTTTGTGCATCGCCCTCCTCAATCAAAATCGAAAGTCAGCGATTCTAAT